TATATATATATATATATATATATATATATATATATATATGTATATATACAGTATATACATATATATACAAATTTGGCTGGCAGTGTGGGCTTGCCATAACCATGTTCTTTCATTCCAGCCTGTTCTCAATATGGCCTTGGCGTTCCAGAATGTTTTCGGTGAGAGATCAGCACAGTCGTACATACTGTCACAAAGCAGACATACTTTTTCCTTTTGAACACGCTACAGGCATTCCTAAAACAAAGTGCTCTATGCAAAATAAATAATTCACAAAACAACCCAAAAGTCAGAGTAAGGAGCATGTGTCTGGTGCAACAGCACTATTTATGACCGCAGGGGTTATAGGGAGTCTTGGGAGAACAGAAAGTCACTCACAAATAGACACTACATGACTAAAACTATGTTTTGACCTCCTACATATCCCTTCCACATCCAGTATCATCACAGAGCATTGTTTTTCTTCACGTTGGGTGAACCAGGGTAACCAGCGACCTTTTGTGTCATAGGTATTTACTCCTATATCATCTAAAACAGGCAGTGGAATGCTTTTATCATAAACAACTGGATGAGTTTTCTTCCCAGAGTTCATTCTCTCCAACTCCTTTATTCATCCCTTCTTCCCTCTGCAGATCCAAAGTTCATTCTTATGTCCCAAAAAAAATGGCAGCCAGGTGTGTGCCTTCATCTTAGCTCGTTCTCTCCACCCCTCCTAAAGATATATCGGGACTGTGGTTTGAGGCTTGACAAGTAAAAGAACATTTCCTGAAAAACATTTTAGAACTTAGAAGGTCAAATTGGAAATTAAATATAATGCATCAACCAATTCCCTTTCAAGATCATTGGTCACACTCTACAATAAGATTCAACTGGTTAACAGTTAATGCAATAGGTGTTGTGAGGTGTCATGAACAGTGAACAACAACTGCAAAAAAATTTTTTTCGTTAAAAATATGAATTTATCTAGTTAATGCTAATATATAAGGGGGGGTATATTATTATTCTATTTTAATATACTTTAAAATGTAATTTTATTCCTGTTGTGGCAAAGCAGATTTTTTTTTTTTTAATAATCAGGGCTGAAATGATCATTAGTTTTGCTGCTTTCGTGAAAAACCGTGATCCATTTTTTGCAGGATTATTTGACAAATAGAAAGAAAACAGAAATATTTTGTTACATTATAAACGTCTTTACTGTTACTTTTGATCAATTTAATGCATACTTGCTGAATAAATGTATTAATATTTGATTGACTCCAACCTTTTGAATGTCCTATTGTTTATTCATAATACATTAGCTGATGCTTATTTATTCCACTTGAAATATAGAAAATGAACTACAATAAGTAGAAATTAACATCAACCTAGATTAATAAATTATGTTCATTGTTAGTTCATGATACATAGTACATTAACTAATACTGTTAACAAATTGATCCTACTGTAAAATGTTGCCAAATCATTTTTCTTACCTCCATCTCTGCTTCGCATTCCATCTCTCTCTTTTTTCTTATATCATCACATTGCTACATGTATTCGTCTCCCTATGTACCAGGGCATGTGACCGCGCTTGTCTCACAGCATTCACCACACACAGTGTGGCCACAGTGATAACTAGTGGTCAAAACTATGCCTTAAAAGTGCTCTGCATCCTTTCTATTTCTCATTTTCTTTTTAAATAAGCCATAACTAGACTCAACAAGAAGTCTTCGAAAGCATCTGCTTCCCCAAAGTCACCTGAACATCAAAAACGAACAACTTTATTAAAAGCTGATCTTCGAAACCTTCCCCCATCAAAGGGAAAAAAAGGGAAAAAAGCGTTATTGCTCCACACTATCATGGTGTTTTTTTCACCCTAATTCTATAATATCCATATACCTGACATGAACGTTTCCTACTCTTAGGAGCTAGGAGGCGATTAACTGCTTGTAAATAAAACAAACAAGACAACGGAAGTGTACGAACAAAAGATAAATCCTGTCCATCTATGCAACCACGAGCTGACCTGCAGCAGAGCCCTGCTCACCTCCAGACTGCAGACCAGCACACAACAGCGATACCACAAGATTTTCAGGATGTGATGTCAATTTTACTGGAGGTGAGGGCGGGGTTAGAGAGAGCGTTGTGGAGGGCAAGGATCTGCGACGAGTCCCTGCATACCCCATGAGCTTCTCAAGCACTGATTCCTGGGGTCCATAATTTGAGGAGGGCCGTTATTCTACTGGTACCATGCGGAGAACTGGAGGGGACCACAAAAATCCCCCAGACATCCTGGTCCCTTGTTCTGTCAGTAGTTAATTGTCTCACTACAGTTCAACTATCCCGTGGTGATGGGTGTGTTAATAAGACAAACATGCGTTCAGACACGCTAAGAGTTATAGTGGCCTGGGCCTGCTGTTACATAATATCATTTACTTTTTTTCATTACTGTTATTCATTATTTTCTACAATGACTTTAAACATTTAATTTGTAATCCTCTTTTTCATAGCTCATTTTCTAAAGAGTCATTGTGAAGTTTTTTTCTGTTACTTCGCTTGTATTCTCCCATCTCTCCAGGAGGCATCACAAAATCCGGGGTGCAGAGCGATCATTGGAGACGGTTTTGCGCAGTCGCACCCCTCGACGAATAGACCTCAGCATGTCCTCACCCTCCTGGGGCACTTCAGGATCGGGTTGGGACTCGGGGCCTGGTGGGGGCTGGTTTGGAAGCGAGAGGAAAGGGAACTGGGCCTCACCTAAGGCGTGAGCGCTGGCTACCAGCTCCCCGATCTTCTCCACCAGACTGTGGCGATTGGCAGCCAGCAGGTGATCTTCTTCACCTGGTTGGCCGTAGACGCTCATCTCTAAGCCGCCTACACCCCCTGAGCCCCAGGCTGTGTTAGGCAGGCTCAGCCGCTTTGGAGAGGCCTTCACGTACTCCAGCGCTCCCGGGGAGGCATCATCCGGCACATAAAAGACACATTCTTCGCTGCCCACATGGGCGGTAGTGCCTGTATACCCGCCAGGTGAGTCAGGCACAGTGGGGGTCTTGACTGGCACGATGGGTGGTCGTATAGGAATAGGGCCAGCGCTGGAGAGGGTGCGCCTCACCCCAGGCTTCGTAGACGGTGTTCGGCGAATGGTGGCTGTGCCGGAGATACCGCCCCCTCCACCGGGTGGTCCGCCCAGAGCACCCACTCCACTGGGCAGGCCTGCCGTGCTGGCAGGACGCTTAGTCTGTATCATGCGCCGGTAGTTCTGGGCGATATTACTGTGACGGGGAATTGTGGAGGATTTATCGAATTCAGCCTGACCGTTGGCCTCAGTGTCTCCGTTCACTGAGTAACCATCATAATCGGAGCCTAACAAAAAAAATCCCACTTGTAACTTGTCAGCTCTTATAACTTGTTTTGAATTCAAATAATAATCAGTAATATCTGTTAAGGCCCAATCACACAAAGGCTGATAACTATAATAATAATAATGATACCTACAAAGTTTTCATTCTAATAGAACAGGGAAGTCCACACCACAGCTATAGTGTCACAGTGAAATTAAACAGAGGAACAATGTTGATAAAACCACTTTCAGAATGATTTGTTTTTCTAGCTGATGAATGATGAGAACATTGACAGCCAATCAGAATCCACCTGATTTTAAAGAGCTTAAGCATTTAAAGCGGCAGATGACAACAGCAGCACGTGCTTGTAATAAACAAAGTGTTATTGTGCGTTGGTGCGGACACTAATATGGTTAGCGTTATAGCTATCACTTTTGGTGTGAACAGGCCTTTACTGAGAACATGTGAGTAATTTTGACTATGTGTTACCCTGTGAGGGGATGGTATCTTCTGAGCAGGATGGGGTGGTTGTCTGAGTGCTGTATCCACTTGAGTACTGAAGGGAGTCTCGGCTGCTCTTCTGCTGCTCCATGCTGAGGCCTCGTGTCAGGACCATAGCTAGATCACTAGCAGCTGGGGAAACCTCCTCACCATGCTGCACCATTACACAATACATACAGACGGTTACATCAAGCACAGACTACACGCATGTAGCTCAATGTGTGTGCATATGTAGACCTAGACTTTGAATCCTAAGCTATGAAAATCGAATGAATAAAAATTGACTAAAAGAAAATTATAAACATAAATACTATTCTAATCAATTATGTAAAAATATTATTCCAATGTATTTATTTATGATACATAATTTGCAAACTGTGAGTCAAGGAGTCAGGCATCTTTATCCAAAAATGCTTAAAATGCACATCAATATATCAATTAAAATGTGGTGGAAAGGGTGGAAATTAAAAAAGAAAAATTACTTTATTTTGTTATTAATGTATATCCAATGTTGGACACTGTCAACTATATGTGACCCTGGACCACAAAACCAGTCATAAGGGTCAATTTTTCGAAATTGAGATTTATACACCATCTGAAAGCTGAATAAATAAGCTTTCCATTGATGTATGGTTTGTTAAGATATGACATTGGGCCGAGATACAACTATTTGAAAATCTGGAATCTGAGG